CCGCCTGGCCTTCCTCGTCCCCGCCAAGTCCATCCTGGCCCTGGAGAAGTGGCGATGCCCACCTGAAGGTGAGGGCAGAGAGGGTGCAGGGGTGGGGGGAGGTGTCCAGCTGACCTCCCCCCACCCCAACCCCAACCCCAGGGACCACCTCACCCCCCCTCCATCCCCAGAGCAGATCTACGGCAACTGGTCGCTGCCGCTCAACACCTCCCACGTCTGGCAGCCCCGCATGCGAGAGGTACGCCCCGCCGCCATCCCTGGGACACCCCAAAATCTCTGGCGGGGTGCTGAACCCCCCCTCTTTCTTCCTCCCCTCCCCGCCTTCCTTCCTCCATGCCCTGCAGATCCAGGGGGCCATCGTGGTGTCCAGCCTGGTGGAGGTGGTTATCGGGCTGCTGGGGCTCCCCGGGGCGCTGCTCAGCTACATCGGGCCGCTGACCGTCACCCCCACCGTCTCCCTCATCGGGCTCTCCGTCTTCCAGGCGGCCGGCGAGCGGGCCGGCTCCCACTGGGGCATCGCCGCGCTGTACGGCACAGGGACAGGGGGACAAGGGGGTAAGGGTGTCCCCCATGGAGCCAGAAGCATGCTGGGGGCATGAGGGTCCTCCTCTCTCTCTGTTTCCCCTCTAGGACCATCTTCCTGATCGTCCTGTTTGCCCAGTACCTGCGGCACATCACCATTTGCCTACCCGGGCACCGGCGGGGCCGCGGCTTCGTCCTGCTCCACATCCAGATCTTCAAGATGTTCCCGGTAGGGACTGGCGAGAGCTGCCGTCTCCTGGGGAGGGGAGTTTGTCCCCAGAATCCCCCTTTTCTCCACACACGCGTTTGCAAGCGATGTAGGGGGTGTGTGCATCCCCGGTCTCTGCCTCCACAGATCATCATGGCCATCATGGTGGTGTGGCTGCTCTGCTACGTGCTGACGTGCACCGGCGTCTTCCCCAGCCAGCCCGAGGCGTACGGCTACAAGGCCAGGACGGACACCCGGGGAGAGATCCTGTCCGTGGCACCCTGGTTTCGGGTCCCCTACCCCTGTGAGTGCCGCGTGCAGGTCCCCCCGAAACCCCTTTGCCCTGGGGGACACGGCATAGCATCACCGGGCCTGGGGGGCACCCCAAAAGGGAGGGGGGGCCCCAAAGCAGCACCGGTGAGCACCGAGGGGGGGTGCCAGGTCCCCGGGGTGCTCCCCACCCTGAAGCCCCGCTCTGCTCCCCCCCGGCAGGCCAGTGGGGTCTGCCCACGGTGACCTCGGCGGCTGTGCTGGGCATGTTCAGCGCCACGCTGGCGGGCATCATCGAGTCCATCGGGGACTACTACTCCTGTGCCCGGCTGGCGGGAGCCCC